CTACCCCCGATTATCGATCTGATTTAGGGTTTAAATAGAACCGTGCCCTGCGAGCTCATCCACTTTTCTAGAGAAACTGCCGACCAACAAGCAAGTAGCTGGTTTTAACTAGAGTATCCAGTAGGAACTTTGGAAGGGGGTCCGCACAAAAAACTCACATACTTAGGGAAAAGTGGAGGTAATTACGGAAAAAAAGGAAGGTAGTGATTAGGGTGGCATTATACGTAAGAACACTGTATTATAGTATATACTGGGGGAAATTTTTTGTTGTACACCCATATCAAAGAAGTTTCAATAAAACAGTTTGTCTGCCACTTTGAACTGGCTACTAGTGTTAATTGAATATTACGTTATTTTTTTATTTTATTTTTTTTCTACCGGGTTACCACGACAGCCTACTGGCCTCGTTACCGGGGCCATCCACTCTCCACCCATGTGTGGAGATCTATTGCTACACCCATTTCCAACCCTTTTTACTGGCATCATACCTAAATCCATGGGCACAGTATGAGTGTCTCCGGTGGAACACCTTGCCAGTTAAGCTGACACTCTCTGCACCAATGGTGCATCGGATCCACTCACCACTGTGTAGCCGTTCCCCGAAGAGGACTCCATGTTTCAGGACGTCCACTCCTCACCGGTTAAGCCAGCGCTCTCTGCCAAAGCATCGGATCGGGCCCCAAAACAGCCGGGGTTACATAGGAACTTTTCTCGATGAAAACAGTTTTTTTGGTGTATTCTACTTATCATGATTTTTCATCAGTTATCCACTTTTCCAATATTACTAACCACATTATGATTTGTACTATGAGATTTAAAATGACGCTACACTATGTAACGTTTTTTACTCGTCCAAACCTCTTATTTCAGAATGACAGTATATAAATTGTAATAAACAGTTAATTTGCTTTTTTGTGCCAGCCATTACATTAAAGGTAACATGACGTAATGCTCTGTATGCGTCATAATCTTTTATTTGATATGTACATCTTTTTTTTTTATATTATAGTGCTCTACGTCCGGCTCCTTTAATAAGGGCACTACTATGGGCACTTAACACTTGGGAAAGGGACAAGGAAAGGGATGGGAGGCCTCCCATTACAGGAGGGGGGTAGGGGGAATTAGGCAATTTTTTCTGCGAAAACGTCACCTAAACTCTCCTCGAGGAGCATTGCGTGGTGAAAATGCACATGTGAAAATCACAGAGGTACTTGCCCGAAAAGTCGCACTGGCCAAGGATTAAACCACGGTCTTCCGCGTTCCAATCCACGACCTAGCCGACTGAGCCACCACGCGCTCGTGTATATATGTATATATAAGGGGTTTCGTAAAGTAAGAGGTCATCTAACATCTAGTTGGGATCTTGCATGAAAAATATCCCTTGTTACGATTCTTTGATACCCATGTTAAAGGGCTCTAATAAAACAGTTGGTCTAAAGTTTTTTGTTGGCTACAATATTTGATTAAAAATAACATCATGCTAGTAAATATATTCTACTTGTCATAACCTGACAGTTATTACCCATTAAGAGGTCGAGTTCAGGGAATATTTTATGTGCCATGACGACTGTCAGATCTCCTATAATTTTAAGTATATCATATGTCACTGTTTTCAGAAAAAAATTTTTGTACAAAGTTTTAGCATTATGATATAGTATAGGATAATGCAATTAATTACCAGATGGTTTAATCAAAATTGAGCACAGTAGCTAATTTAATGATAATATTATCCAATCAATTATTAAATATACTATTAACTGATTAAAACAATCTAGATACTATTATAAGTACTTCATTAGAATTTCCATAATTTTTTATAAGTCTACATGAATTTTTCATATACAGTATTACGCCACTCTCAGGAGTAGAGTTTATGAGCCCTGGATAAAATAAGGCTTCTTTTCAACGTATAATAACGCGTTTAGCAATTCTTTCCGGTGATTTTCGATACAGATAGATAAAATCTCTTCGTGCACTCATAAAATTTTGTACTGTAAAAGATAAAAAATTATATTTTTACAAAAATGTGCATGTATATTTCTTATGAAAAAAGTTAGGAAACATGCAAGAGAAAAATTTGTAATAAGATAAAAATTACATTTTGGTATGTATAAAAATTTTCAAGTGATATGTGTATCTCTGAACTAGAATTTCTGTGTGTATACATGTGCGTACAATTTTTTCGCTGCTTGTCAGATAATAATCATTTTATATTTTGGCATGATATTCACCTGGCTTATTAGGTTTTCACATAGATATTACCAGATTATTATCTAATATTATTACCTGATATTTCTTAGTGGGTGTCAGTTGATAACCGGGTGTAAATAAAGTAAATATCGATTAAAAATTAAGAAAGTCTTTTTCTGAAAATACTTATTATAACCAATATGATATTTGTATAGCAAACATTAAGATCTTATTTAATACCTTCTCAATAATTAGTGGACTTTAACGCAGTGCATGACAGATGAAAGTGGCATAGAAATAACGTAGAAATTGTATGAAAATCTGATGAAAATTATATATTAATACTAAATTTTACGTCTTGAATACAAGGTACGACCAATCTACAGATTGCCAGAGCAAAAAGTTATTTGGACTATTTGATTTGAGTTAGAAACCATTCAATTGCTGAATATAATAACAAAAAAGTAAATTTTATATAATATTATCAAATGTCAAATAATTGAATAATATTACATATCACAACACAGTTTGTCATCCATTTAAAAACAATTTGAGTTGTATATCGACGTGTGCGTGGAAGACTATCACAGCGTGATGTCACCCCATTTAAAATAACACGGTGTGACGTCACACTGTGATAGTTTTCTATCCACACGTCGATATGAGAATGACATTATAGATGAAAATGAAGACAGGAACAAGTATATTTTACTAAAATCAATATAAATTTATATTAGTTATTTGGTCCTTTAATGCTAGGTAAAAAAGCTACATTCTGTTAAACAATTTTTTGGTGTTTTTAACAACTTTTTTGTATTAATTGTTAAGATAAAAATAGTAACAAAAATAAGTACTACAAAAAAATGTATGTCAATAAGATCTACAATCTTTTTATTTACTATTCCATTTATAAATTTAATGTAGAAAAGTTTGATACTGTAAGACGAATTTTTTGGCCTTTTTAAAACGGTCTTATGATTTAAAATATTCAGTAAAGTCGAGATAATTACAGTTTTCTACCTTTTTGATAAGGTTACCTTTATTGTACGGCATTCTAGTATAATTTTTTTAGCAACTATCTATTTTATTGAAAAAAATAGACCTAGAAGCCTATTATTTACATTGTAAAGAAGAAATCAAGACCAAACTTGACAAGATTGATTGAGAATTCTAAGGAAAGTAAGAGCTTAGATGTCAGACAGATAACATAACATCTGATTTCTCAATTTTGTGGTAGTGTTATTTCTCTTTCTTAATTTTTTTTAAAAATTGTTCGAAAAAACGAGAGTTGTCTCACATTATTGAATCTACAAAAAATTAATAAGGTATATCTTGATTTTTGCGATATTTATTGTATGATCGTGAATAACAATAAGAAATCTGATAACAATGTATTAAGGTTGACAACTTTTGTATAGTTTGTTTATTTTATTCTCGTGCAAGAAACGATTTTTTCAGTGTTTATACATCTAGTTTTAATGACAAAGTATCTCCATTGTATAAAAAAGCAAAGTGTGTGATACGAAAAAATTATATTTTATTGTGATCTACGACTTTGACGTATATTGAACATAAACGTATAAAATGTGTGTGTTAAGTTTTTGTACTAAAAATCCTTGCTTTTTTATCCTTAGAGTGTTGTTAATGAAACTCTGGCAAAACGTATCCTTTCTATGGAATCTGTTTCAATGTAAACCATCAGCTTAGATATTGAGAACTCTATGCTACCGACATAGTCACGCACACACACATATACATAAATAAATACATGCTTACACGTACATGTACATGCATGAACCATGCGACCAACTCAGATCACCCTCATACACGATTCACAAAATATTCTTAACGACGTCTCTGGATATTCTTCGGGTCCTTGCAAAGGATGCATAATATTGCTCAAACGTTGAAAGATTAATTACAAAAGAAAACACACTTTATGTAATAAAATTAAAACCACTGACATGATTTACGATCTTGTTTTGCAAAAAAAATGTAATTGTTTGGCGTTGTCGTCTCGTTTCTTGTTGGTAGAATTAGAAGTTAAATGATTTCTGTGGTAATATATAAACAAATGTTTCATGGAATACGTCCAGAGATATTTCTTGGGACGTTTCTTTTCTTAGCAAGTTTTTATTCAATTATAAACATGTTAAAATATTAAATAAACCAAAAACTAATGTAGTATTAAGAAAAAGTTATTGATAAAAGTTGATCAGGAAGCTTCGTACTAATGCGTAAGCAATCTTTTTTTTTATCAACTTGAAAAATGTATTTTTTGTATTAAAAGCAATACTCATTATTGTAAAAACTATAATTAGTCTTACACATACCTGAATGATGAATAAAATAGGTGATAGGTGGTGGTTTATGAGAGAATATGTTTTTTATTTATGTGAAAGATGCTATTGAAAATGACTGCATGAGGCACATACCTACCTTAGATACTTTTGAGCTACAGTCGTTTGATCAAGAGCCATTCTGTACATTTTTATGGCCTGAGATAACTGGCCAATTTTCGTATAAATATTTCCTATATTGACCTTAAGTCTGGTGTTACTGAAATTTCTGTTGCTGAAATTTCGGTTTTTTATGATGGCCAAATACGTTGCTATTGCCTCCGTGTAGAGTTCGCTATTCAAATACTGGCTGGCTAGATTAAAAATAACCTGAAATTAAATTTTCTGTTATCTGTGTATGATGGTCATTGAAAATATTTTAACTTATGAATGTTAAAGAATTTTTCCCTTCTTCCCCCTACTTTCCCTCTTGGCACCATCTCAGCTGAGCTTGATAGGTTGTTATCTTTATACAAAAAGACTACTATATAAAATCAAATTACTCCATAAAATTACATTTTTGGAAAAGTATAAGGACCAGTAAGTTTCATGTGTTCAATTAAAACTTTTTTAGAAATTTTCAAGTTCTCCATACATAAGCAATAACTTTCATTCTTTCTAATAACCCATCAGCTCAGCAAAATTCTGAAATAAAAATCTATAAAAGGTCAAGTTATGTTTTCTTTTTTAGTAACTCATGCTTACTTTTTGTATGACACTCGTCGTATGATACGGTTCTATATNTCATCCCAAAATGAAAAAAAGTATCATAAGCACTGGACACCATTTTTTTATCAATTAAGAGAAAAACCCATCATATAAAGATAAAATTTACAGTTAGAATTTTTACCTATTACAATCTATGAATTACTAATAGTAATTAAATACTAAAAACGTGCAGTTTAATACAACCTTATAAATACTAAGCATAACTAAGAAAAAAAAGAAATAATAGTAATACATACTAAGTAATAATGGTAAAATCTTACATCAATTTCAAACGACAAAAACAGTACAATAGTAGTATTGTACTGTTTCGTTTTTTATACACTAACAAATTTAGCAAGTTTTTATTCAATTATAAACATGTTAAAATATTAAATAAACCAAAAACTAATGTAGTATTAAGAAAAAGTTATTGATAAAAGTAAAAAGTATGCTTTACTAAGAAATGAAAAAAAAAACTTTTTACTATTTTAAGATTTAGATTTTATAACTTTGCTAAGCTGACGAGTCGTCATAATGAATAAAATTTATTGCTTACATATGAAGGCTTTAGAAGTTTTTAAAAAAACCAATGGCGAGTGGGTGCTTGGGTACCCAAATTTAAAGTTATTGTTCCTGGCAGATAATATATTACTGTATAGTAACATTTATAGATGGCAGATACTATATAAGTGTAGATAGATATATCATTTACAAAACGATGTATTATACAACCTACTGTGATGTATTAAAGATAATGCAAGTATTAGACTTGAGCTAAGTTGCATTGATTATTTGAAAAAA